GTCGCAGGGTCGGCGATGAGCAGTGAGCGGGACGGGCTGTTCAGGACTTTCAGGATGTTTTATGTGGGTTGTAATTGATGATGAACGTTAAAAACTTTTCAGAGCTTTTATCAGACTTACATGTTATTTTGCCACGCTAAGACTTCCGCTAAAATTTCAGACTTTGTTCCGACATTAGTCGGATAATAAATTATAACCGTTTCACGTTTCAGTTTTAAATTCTAACGGTTTTCAGAAGTCATGTTTTCACGGTAACCCCCGAATCAGTTTCGCAAAAATTTAAAAAGTTAGTTTATTTACTTATTTATTCAGAATATTTGCGAAAAACCGCGTACTCTGATGTATATCAGTCAGCGGGGTGTTACAGGTCTTAGCGATATCTGACTCTTTAATCTTCAGCTGGTGGTAGCCTGATCGCAAATCAATCTTTGAAAACACACAGGCTCCCCTCAGCTGATCAAATAAATCGTCGCTCCTGGGAAGCGGATACTTGTTCTTGATCGTCAACCGATTAAGATCCCGGTAGTCGATGCACATGCGCATGGATCCGTCCTTCTTCTTGACAAAGAGAACGGGTGCTCCCCAAGGTGACACGCTCGGTCGGATGAAACTGAGTCGTAATAACTCCTGAATCTGCGCCTTAAGCTCCTGCAACTCCTTCGGCGCCATACGGTATGGGGCTTTGGATACTGGGCCGGCTCCTGGAATGAGATCGATAGAGAACTCCACCTGCCGGTTAGGCGGTCCTCCTGGAAACTCGTCTAGGAACACGTCTACAAACTCACGAACAACTGGAACATCATGAGGTGATCGTGCTTTCTGAGAATCATCGACAAGGCTCACCAGATAACCCTGGCAGTTGCCTCGTCGCAGCAACTTAGTGGATTTCGCCATCGAAACAACATGAGGCAATGAACGATTTCTGGAGCCAAAGAAAGTGATCGAGTCGTCTCCCGGAAGATAAAGAGTAATCTCCCGGTCATGACATCTAATATCTGCATGATAAAAGGATAGCCAATCCATTCCGAGAATAAGATCGAAGTCCCTCATCTCGAGAACAAACGCGTCGGTAGACAATACTCGGCCACCGATGGAAAGGCTAAGATCTGAAGCTTTAGCTGAGGTCTTTATCTTTCATCCTGAGGCTAAACTCACCTCGAGAGGATCGACAGCGGTAATGGCATGAACACCGATGGCATCAAGACATCGTCGTGAAATAAAAGAATGTGTCGCTCCAGTATCCAACAAAGCAAACACAGGAACATTATTAAGCACAACCATTCCTGACATAGTACCTGGCTGCTGCTCGGCCTCTGCCTGATCAACTGCATAGAATCGGGCCTTTTGTTTGCCCCTCTGCTGCTGCTGCTGAAACGGCCTCTGTGCCTGCTGACGGGGCTGCTGCTGCTGCTGTGGCTGCTGAGGCTGCTGCTGAAGTCTCTTCGGACAGTGACTCACAAAATGTCCAGGCTCGTGGCAGTAGTAGCAAATGTCCTGGCCCATATGGCACTCTCCGCGATGAAGTCGTCCGCAAGTCGGGCACGGTGGAACTTGCTGCTGTCTCTGTCGGGTCCTCCTGTCGGTCTGAGCAGCCTTCCCCTTCCTCTTCTTTTCCTTCGTCGGCTGAGCAGCTGATGGAGCTTGTGGAGCTGCAAATGACTGGGCGGGGGCGGACGACTGAGAACAATCACGGACAGCCTCCCTCCTGACGCTGGCGTCCACCTCCTGGGCAATAGAAACTGCACGAGCATATGTCTAGGTCCTGTGACCTACGATGTTCTGACGGACTGCGGGGTAAAGCCCGTCAATGAAGCGCTGTGCTCTCTGTGCCTCCGTGCGAACTAGGTCCGGAACAAAAGCTGCAAGTCTGGTAAACTCTCTCTCGTACTCATTAACAGTACGAGTACCCTGCTGGAGCGATAAGAACTGACGCTCCATCTCTGCTCTGTAATAGGTGGGGTAGTACTTCTCGCGGATCAGCTCCTTGAGCCTATCCCATGTACATCCCGCCTTCTCGCCGGGACGCATGCTCCAATAGGCATTCCACCAGAGCCGAGCATCACCGGTTAGCTGGAGCTGAGTGCAAATTACGCGATATCTATCTGGATAATCCATGACCTTGAAGATAAACTCAAGGCCCTAAATCCACTCGTCCACTATACGGGGATCTCCCTGCCCGGAGAATTTCTCGGCATGATAGTCGAGAAAATGTGCGACTACTGTGGCCTGAGTAGGAGCCGGGTGATCGGGTTCCCTACGGGGCGACATCTGAACATTGAGAAAGTTCAACATTATTGAACACGTGATAATATTCTGACTGATTACTAAGGCACACAAATCTCTTGACGAGTTGCCAAAAGTGGCCGATAAATACTGACATGAATCCTGAGGAACTCTAGAGTCATATCGGAAGATACTGAATTCTAGAGTCATATATGAATATACTGAACTCTAAAGTTTGAACCTGATTCGAGCATCTTAACTAAGTCCTAATCCATAATTTCTGAGCATAGACAAAGTAATATGTTTATAACTGGAAACATAAATCAACACTTACCTATAGTTGGCGAGGCGTGAGCGTGACGGTTTCAGGTTTTTCTGAAAATTACTGACTGAAAAACTTTTCAGACACGCAGAAACGTGCTCTGATACCAATTGTAACACCCCGCCTTTTCGTGAAATCAGAGTGCATAAATTTCGCAAAGTTATTTAAAAATCAAATATTTTAATTTACGCACTCTGATTTCACGATAAGGCGGGGTGTTACAACAGTAGATAACACGAGCTTACGTAGGGGTGACAAACTGCTTGTGAGTGGTAGGCGTCCAGTTTGATGCTCCTATCTTTTGTAGAGCATTGGCAGGCGGAGTTAGACCTTTCACAAAGATTCCCGGAGCAAGCCATTTGGTTAGTTGTCCACTGATCAAGGTGCGAGCAACTTCATCAAGATCATCAGTCAGAGGTCCAAGAGAGGAACCTTCAGCTAAGCCAAGTATAGAGTTCACCACATATGGAGAAAAATCAATCACACTATTACGCACAAACACCTTCTGAAACTTCATTAAGGACGGCTTAGATACAGAGGTAGTCAGGTTCGAATAAAATTCACCAACACGCAGGGGACAATACTTCCCAACAGACGTGATGGAATCCTGAAGACCCACTTTCTTTAGAGGTTCAAGCAAACCAAGTTGTTCATAATGTTCGCTAACAATCGTCCGCTCAGGACGAAACCTCATTTGAGAAAAGATGGTAGAAAAACGAGTTTCAGCCAGAGGAGAATAAAACTGACGGGAGAAAGCATTACCAACAGTAAGAGGATTGTCTGGACCATCACCCTCGACATCAACAATGATTTTTCCTTTCGCAGGAGGAGAAAGTTCCTCGTCCGCAGCATGATTTTCGTCTGATTTATACGGTTTAGCAACATAGTTGGCAACCTCCAGTTCAACAGAATCAGCACCAAAATCCGGAGACGACTCTCCCCCAGATTTTGTGAGAGAAGGAGTACCAGCAGCAGGTTCAGGCAGATGAACGACCTTCTTCGCCTTTTTTGTTTTTGGAGCAGCAATTGCGGGGACCTTCTTGCGCTTCTTTGGAGATTTAACGATAGAGGTGTAGAGACATAAAATTTTTGTCCAATCAAATGGCGCCACGTGGAAATTAATTTATTAAAAATCAAGTCAAATTTTCTATTTATATTGTAGGAATTTCCATATATTTAATTTCTAAATTTAAATAGTTAATTAATTGATATTTTAATAATTAATTCTTTTTGGTAACTAAATCATATCATCTAGATTATCTTGGAATATTTAAGTGGATCTTGAAGATCTTATGTGAATCATCATGGACCAATCAAATCGCATCCTACGATTCTTAAATTTGGTAGGGTGCTCTCTCCTACACCTATAAATAGGGGCTCTCCCTAAAGCTAAAAAAACACACCTCATAATTCATATTCAAGTTCAAGAGCTCTAGAGAATTCTCTCTACGAAATTCAAGTGTTCTTGAAGATTCAAAGTTGTTCTTGAAGATTCGAAGGAAATTCAAGCACATTCAAGCTCAAAACCGATGTTTAATCTGGAAACAAGCTGTCAAGCCTCCGAATTGCATCATATTCAAGTTCAAGTTCAAGATATCTCGACGAGATTCAAGTGTTCTTGAAGATTCAAAGGCGTTCTTGAAGATTCAAAGAAAGATTCAAGCACGTTCAATCTAAAAACAAGCGTTCAATCCGGAAACAAGCTGCGAAGCCTCCGAGTAACGTTAGTAAATTCAAATCCGACGTGAAGAAGATTAGAGATCTACTTTGCGGCGAAGACCAAGGATTCGTGTTCTTCGCGTTCTTGGGATATTTTGACGTTTTATCTGAGAAAAAGCTTTCAAGCCCTCGAATTACGTTAATTTAAGTCAAATCAAGTCAAGGAGAAGATTAAGCCGAAGATTTCGCTCCAAAACTTAAAATATTGTTTGTGAGAAGAATCAGAGGAATAATTTAGAATTTAACCCGCTATATTATTTTGATTCAATAAATTCATTTGAATAATATTTTTCGTGTTTTTAAATTCAATACACGAAATTTGTTGCTACAAATTTTTGGCACGCCCAGTGGGACATCTCTACCTCTCACCTCTTCTCTAAAGTTCATAAAGTCATCATGACTAGCCGCAGGATTGCCGTAGTCAAGATTCCTTCAACAAGTTCCTCAAGTTCCAACCTCGGCGTCGTTACAAGAAGCATGGCCAAGCAACTGCAAGAATCTTCGAAGACCACTCCTTTGCACGAGGTG